CAAGGATGACCACGCATAAATCGAGAAATGATTAAAAAAAAAAAAAAAAAGAGCCGCAAAAATCGCTCTAAGAATGACAGTCAAGGGGGTAAAAGATCAGTTTAATATCTGATCGGTTGTCCACCGCACGGCATTGAAAAAAAAAATAAAAAATAAAAAAAATTGTCCAGTGCTGATCAGGCAATGATTAGTATTGATTACCCAGCCCTCCTTTCCCGGCTACGTCCTCTCCTGGTCTACCACCCACCTCCAAGCTGAACCTGCTCAAATATGCGGCTATCGTTCGAGCAGCCTGCTGGCTGAACCCGCTCAACGCTGTACGCGGGGTGAACCTGGTCATCACTCCATCTCCACGCGTCCCAAGAACCTGGTCAACGTTGTACGCTGCCTGAACCTGGTCAACGTCGACTCAACGATGCATTCTGACTGAACCTGGTCAACGCTCCATCTCCATGTGTTGCACGAAAGTGGTCAACGTTGTGCGCTGCCTGAACCTGGTCAACGATGCATTCTGGCTGAACCTGGTCAACGATGCATTCGGGCTGAACCTGGTCAACGATGCATTCGGGCTGAACCTGGTCAACGCCCCATCTCCATGTTTTGCAAGAAACTGGTCAACGTTGTGCGCTGCCTGAACCTGGTCAACGCTCTATCTCCACGTGTCCCCACCCAGGTTGCACCTCCTCTCTTGGTCCTCCACCAGTTTCCAGGCTGCCACGTAGACGAGGAAAGCGGCCAGCAGGATGACAATCGTGCGCGCGTAGCTGACACGAGTCAGCTCTCTCTCTCTCTGGAAACCCCCCTCCCTCTGGGCTGCCATCGCTCTTCGGGAAGAAATATGATGGTTGATCGTCGGGGGCTGGTGGTCAAAATGCCCGTTGACTTTTGACCTTCTGCACACACTCTTCATGGGAGCGCGGGAAATCTGCACAGCAGCAGCGGCGGCGGCGGAGGCGGCGCGCTCCCTTAACCTCGGGTTTGCACTCGGGGTTGCCCAACCTGCAGCCTCCGTAAGCTCGATTTCCGTTGACTTTGACTTTGTCAGAGTTTCACCATAGTCAGCAGCAGGAGCGTTGACTTTGACTTCCTCACTCTCTCCCTCTTTCTGCTCATCAAACTCCTCCTTCTCTTCCTCCTCCTCCTCCTCCTCCTCCTCCTCCTCTTTCCCTCCATCGCGTTGCTCGAAGATTTCACCGAATCTTCTTCTTCTTCTTCTAGAAGTTTCGACAGACTGAGTATCTTCTTCGAACTGGCCGTCTTCCAGTGTGAGCTCGAGATCTCCGGAATCTGAGTCTTCCTCCCACGATCTCCCAAACCCACCTCCTCTGGCTCTCTTCTCTCTCAGACTCGGCGTATTGGCCTCCTCGAATTCCGCGTAAAGCCTCTGGAGAACACAGAATCGCATGAGAAGGTCGTTGGCTTGGCCCAGACAAGAGAGCTCTTGGTCTCTCTGATCCTTGCTGGCTATGACGATCCCCTCATAGCAGCTGGCTATGGCGGTCTTCTCTTCGTCCATTTCGATTTCTTCACCCCCCCTTCCTCCTCCTCCTCCTCCTCCTCCTCCTCCTCCTGCTGCTTCTGCTCCTACTCCTGCTCCCTCCGTCCTTCTTTCTCCACCTGCTCCTCTCATCTCCCTCTCTCCATCCTCCATGTCTTCTCTTCTCTCCTCTCCTCTCCTCGCCTCCGTTTCTCCTACCGGTGGCGCAGCTTAGAGAGGACGGACATAGAACGCTTGATCGAGCTTTCGCCGGGTATACATCCAACTAAGTCCTGGTACCCTCGGTGGTACCCTCAGACCCCTGGTACCTTCGGTGGTACCTACTACCTTCCGCCCCTGGTACCCTCGGTGGTACCCTCCGACCTCTGGTACCTTCGGTGGTACCCTCCGCCCCTGGTACCCTCGGTGGTACCCTCAGACCCCTGGTACCTTCGGTGGTACCCTCCGCCCCGGGTACCCTCGGTGGTACCCTCCGCCCCCTGGTACGTTCGGTGGTACCCTCCGCGCCCTGGTACCCTCGGTGGTACCCTCGGACCCACGCTACCCTAGGAGGTACTCTCGGACTACCCGTAGGACCGTAATTCCGTCCAGGTTCATTTACTTTTAGTATTTACTTTTAGTTGCTTCCACGTTCAGGCCGCGGAGTCCTTGTGCACGTGCCGTACTTCCTCTCTGTCCGTGCTAGTCACCACGGATTCGGTCATTTCTCCGGCGAGATTCGTTCGAAGTTAACCTCGTATGTCCACTGGGTTAACTAGCATGACTATCGCGAAAGGAACGACCAAATCCGTGCTGACTGAGCACGGATTTGGTCGTTTTTCTAGCGAGGATTCATGCTCAATTAACCCCGTGGACGTAGCACGAGTCAGCCCTGTAAGGGCATAATTAATACGTAATAATACGCACACTTCCACTCTCCTGGATTCGTTTGATGAAAGGGTCCCCATTACAGAACGGCGAGAACGCCATTCAAAATACTTGGGGAAAAAAATAAAAAATAAAAAATACTAGGGGTAATTGCAGAACTAGCGCGTTTTCGAAGTTTCCTAACGGAACTGTTGTCAGGGGTCCGAAAGATGTATTTTTGCAGCCAAAGTGGGACCCCGCAAGCACCGTAGTATCCCTTCGAACGAAAACCCTTTCGACACTCTCTCGTCTCTCGACCCTCCGTATATCCCTTCGAAAATGCCCGTTCAAGGGAGTAGCCTTCTCTTCTTTTTCTTCAAAGCCAAATCCTTCAAAGCCTGTTCGAGGGAATAGCCCTCTCCTCTTATGTAGCCTTAGCCAGTTTCGCCTATTCGACCACAACCACTCCCTTCCCTCGAGCCTGCATTGTACCCTTCGAAAAAAACCCTTCGAAAAAACCTCTTTGCCGAAAAAGGAAAACAGGTCGCCGCCCATCAAGTACCCCGACCGACCTCATCAAAAGACCGATTGAGCAAAGCGTGCAACGACCGGTCCGTCTCCTAGCCGCGACCGCACCCTTCTCGCCTCCCTCTAAAGCCCAAAAACACCCCCGCCAACCTGTATTCAATCCCACGACATTTCCCTAAAAGGAAAAAAAAGCTTGCAATCCAGGTAAGCGCAGCCTCTGGCTGCGAACTGTGTACCCCGCACGGCGATGAGGCGCTAAGAACACCCCATTCGACCACCAATAGCTGTCATATGCATTTCAGAAAGTGCTGCACGCTTTCATTGTTTTTGTTTTGTTTTTGCCACGTTTTCGTTCGTCCACTCGTTTCGTTGGCTGTCGGCTAACGGCTGATTTTCCGCCCCTCCCGAATGCCCCCTTGGCTGTCGGCTAACGGCTGATCCTCCGCCCCTCCCGAACGCCCCCATTGCCTCTAGGTTGCCTCTCGATTTGTGGAACTCCAAAGTTGCCTGGCCTGAATAAAAAAACCCTGGGCACCGTCCAAAACGACCACGTCGCGATCTCTGTAGGCTACCGTTGGTCCTTCGCTATTTTCCTCTGCTAGGACCGCCTCAACGACCAGTCCGTCTTATGACAAGGACCGCACCCTTCGACTTCATTTTTCCCGCCCCCTCTACGCCTATCTAAACCCTCAAAAGGTTACCAGCCTCCTGGCTGCGAACTAGCTAAGTACCGCGGTGCGGGCAGTGCGGGCTACGCCCGCAGAAATAACAAATGCAGTGGGCGACCTCACACTGCATTTCGGTTGGCTCGCCTCCAAGATGTTCGTCCGCAGAAATAAGGATGGCCTACCGGAGGGCACAAAACGACAGCCACGCGAGAAATGAAAAAAGAAGGGAGGAAAAGAAAAAAAAAGAGGCGGACACAAAAGGCCAGGCGCAAGAAATGAAAAAATGAGAAAGGGGACACAAAACAACGATCAACCGGGGAAAACAAAAGCTAAAAGCTAAAAAACGCGGCCTGCGTATTAGATGGCTTGCCTCCAAGATGTTTGTCCGCATCAACGCCACCCGTGTGCCCAGCCCCCGGGGCGCGCTCTCTCGTTTAATGGCGCGCTGTGAACATTCCGGTATGCGCACCCCTCTGCACACTCCCCCGCCCTCAATCGCCTTCATCCGCAGGCCCTCACCAAAACTTCGACCCGAATCCAGCGTGCAGCGCGTCATGGACCTCCCCCCCGAGCCAATGCTGCTTAAGGGATAGGATAGTGATATTTTTGCTGTGAAACCACTGGGACTCGGACCTGTAAGCTGGAACGAAAGATGTATTTTTGCAACGGAATCGTCGACTCTGCCACTACTCTTTTTGCTGTGAAACTACCACGAACGTGCTATTTTTGAAACTCACCCTTAAAGATATGTGAGGTGAGAGAAAATATTCCCCCCCCCCCAACAACAAAAAAAAAAGTATGTCCTTCTGGACATCCGTTAAAACTGGAACAATACAGAGAAGATTAGCATGGCCCCTGCGCAAGGATGACACACAAAATCAAGAAATGGTCCAAATTAAAAAAAAAAAAAAAAAAAGTCTGTCCCTTGGATGAGGAGAAGGCAGCTTGACCTTTTTTTTTTTTTTTTTCAAAAGAAAGGGTCCCCATTACGTGTAGGCAGGATGACTCCTACTATGGCAATCAGATTCTGGGTACTTTGGCCTGTCCCTACCGCTACCCAAATGAATCTGCCCGCAATGTTACTTATTATGCAGAACGCTACACAGGCCCCAGCCCCTCTGGCCAAAGGGGGCATAGTACCTGAAAGTGTCAGTAAACAGGTCAAGGTTCAAGTCGTTTCCGAATCAGATGACTATACAAACACGTTTTACGCTCCCACGGAGACCCGCTTGCTAGTGTGTTGGGAAAGGCGGTGGGGCAAGGGGCGGGCCCACGGGACACCTGTGTTCTTTTTTTATCTTTTTTTGTCGTTTTGTGGGCTCGCTCGCATCGTTTCGTTTTGGACTCAGGGCCTCCCTGCTCTACTCACGAGACTGAATCCACTGCTGGAGTACGGAGAAATACGGTGCTTATCGTTTTTTGTCGTTTGTGGGCCGGCTCACGTTGTTTCGTTTTGGACTTAGGGCCTCGCCACACCACTCTCGAAATGTGAAGAAGACAAAAATGTGGTGGGTGCATCTGGCCATGTTCTAGCGGGAAGTTCATTCCCATTTTGCACATTTCGAGAGTGGTGTGGCCATGCCCTTAGGGCCTAGCTGCACTGATCATGAAACCGAATCTACCGAAATACCTTGCTTATCTTTTTCGGAGACATACCTTGCTTATCTTTTTTGTTGTTTTGTGGGCCAGCTCGTGTCGTTTCGTTTTGGACTTAGAACAGCCATTTCGTCAAAACGGACATATTATATTTTTTGAACGAAATCAAAACTGACTTTTTTTGCCAAAATCCGGTCGGAATTTTTTGCTCATGGGGGTCCGGTGTTCCCAAAACGCCGGACCCCCCTGGTCTATGGTTGAGACCAGATACAAAAAAAAAAAAAAAGAAAAGAAAAGTATCTGGTCTCAACCATAGACCGGGGGGTCCGGCGTTTTGGGAACGCCGGACCCCCAGGAGCAAAAAATTCCGACCGGATTTTGGCAAAAAAAGTCAGTTTTGATTTCGTTCAAAAAATATAATATGTCCGTTTTGACGAAATGGCTGTTTTAGGGTCTCGCTGCACTACTCACGAGACTGAATCTACCGCTAGAGTGCGGAGAAATACATCGCCATCTTTTGTCTTTTGGGCACGTAGATCCGGTGGGGACGAACGGAATGAGTCGGAGGGGGTGCGGGGAGGTGGGGACCAGGGCAGTGGACGGGTGGAGGGGCAACGCGAGGAGCAAAAGAGGGACCAGCGGAGGCAAGAACAGGATGA